ATGTACGATATTGTATGTCCTGTGGGGTGGAGCCCTGTGTGTCAGAGGCTCCTGGATTATGTCGTTTATTTATATTTTAATGCAGTCAAGTGTGGGGCCCGGTTGGGAATCTGCTTTATTAATCCCTAATCGAGCTCCACGTCACCCACCCCGTTTGGGGGGCGTGACAATTATATTATATTATTATATTATAATAAATAACTACTATATAATATATTTTAATTATATTATAATATTGAAGGGTAATTATGGACAAAAATAAGAAAAGAATTTGGAATGGCCATTCTTCGCATATGAGGAAGGAATGATGATTCACTCAAAATGGGTGAATGACCATTCCTTTTGAATGATCATTTCTTTCTTTTAAATCCAACCAAACATTAAACTAGAATTTTATTTCATTCTATTCTATTCCTTTCCACCCAACCAAACACACCCTTAGTGTCTGCCCATATTGCTATCCCCAGATATAAAAGGATGAGATCGAGAAACTAGTCAATGAGATGTTGGAGGCAGGGATCATACAATGGAGTGTGAGTCCATTTTCGAGCCCGATTTTGTTGGTGAAGAAAAAAGATGGGAGTTGGAGATTTTGCGTCTACTATCGAGCCCTGAACAAGGAGACGGTGCTGGATAAGTTTCCTATTCTAGTGATCGATGAGTTGTTGGAAGAGTTGAAGAGGCATTTGTCTAAGGCTCAGCAGATTATGAGGAAGCATGTTGATGGTCATAAGAGGGATGTACAGTTTGCAATGGGGGACCGGGTATACTTGAAGCTTCGACCATATCGGCAGAAGACCTTGGCGTGGTGGAGGAATGAGAGCTCTATCCTCGGTATTATGGACCTTATGAGATTAAAGAGAGGATTGGCAAGGTGGCTTATCATTTGAGGTGGCCACCCTCTTCGGCGATTCATCCGGTGTTTCATGTGTCTCAATTGAGACGGGCTAATGGAGGCCATACATCCTCTCCTTTACTACCGCCTACGTTGATTGAAGATATAGATGTTGTGTTGGAACTAGCTGCTTTAGAAGGCGTGAGCCAAGGGCTATCAGGACAATCAGGCGATAAAGATGTGCTGATTAGATGGAAGGATTTGCCAGACTATGAAACGACGTGGGAGCCATTTGACTTGATTCAGGAGCAGTTTCCTTTGTTCCACCTTGAGGACAAGGTGTCTCGTTGGGAGGGGAGTAATGCTAAGCCCAAGCCTTACAGACTTATGTTAGGCATAGGGTTAGAGGGACAGATTAGTCTTTTGGTATTTTATGGATTTAAAGCTTTAGTATAAAGAAGGCATTAGCAAGTTAATTATGTTTATGCTGAGTTTTGTCAAGTTATTATGAATAATTAAAAGTTTTGGAGAGATTGACCTACCTCTCAAATTGTAGGTCATGATTTTTTTTTCAATTGATTTTATTAATAATAATAAGTCCTAATTCAGTCATAATCCTAATTAATTCTTCTCTGAAACCTATCAAATTGGGACTTGGGCTTAACACGTGTTGATTTCTCGTGTATGAATGGTAAAATAAAATGTAGAAAATAAAGAAAATAATGAATATGAGTTTTTCTCTAGATGATTGATTGACAAGCCTTTGAATATCTAAAGAAAGAAGATCAGATTGATTATTAGATGTGAGACATAAAAGAATGAGTGCTAAATCTGACCTTGCTTTGTCGTGTTTGTGCTAACGTGTCACCCACATCTCTTTCAAGATGTATGAGTTCTTGTGTGGTTAGCTGTTCAACTTTGAGGTCACTGCATTGAACATGTAAATACCGGGGAAAAAAAGAAAAAGAAAACAAAAAAAAAAATTTAAAAACCAATCAGCTCAAGTACCAGGAGAAAATCGAAGACAAAACACCAATCAGCTCATTAATCGTTGTAGTTAAAATATCTGGACATATATAATATAGTCCTCAAAGATGAACCTCATCACATTCAGGTGTTCATCAACTTTCCGGTGTCCACTATATTCTGTATGATGTTTCTGCATGATTAGCAAAGAAAATATGTAGTGACTAAAAAGACATTATAGTTATGTCTGAAAGAAATACATTGTTAAATTACCCATCTTACTAGAAAGACATTAGCGGCTTTTACTCATTTTAATTTTGACTAAATCGATAAGTTGTACTGAACTTCTAATAGTGGTAAATTACCCTTGAATGTTGTAAAATGTCACAGAGTGCCTACAAGTAGATGAATGATGTTGAAATTTGAAAAGAAATGTGACATAACATGCTTCGAGTGTCATTCAAAATTTCAGTCTCTTCCTCCAAATGACTAAATCACTTAGAGCGGGTTTATGAACCCTAAAGGAATCTACTTAGAAAGATAATGGGATTGGAAGAAAGTAATAAGAATGGGATCGTTGATTCCCTTTCTTGTGGTTACTTGCATATTAGACTGTGAAATAGAAAACAATTCAATTCCCTTTTATAGTGTTTACTTTACGAAAAGAAATTTGTTCCTGTACACAATTAAATAATCATTAATAACATTAAATGTATAAAGTACATATAAGTACACATTTGGCATTCATACTCTTTAACCGAGAATCAATACCAAATGGTGCAGAAATTGACATTCACTTTTACGTCTCATTCTCCTTATTAAGACAGTAAGATGGGGAATTTGTCTAAATTTTTATAATCATCATAGATTGAGTACATTGTGCAACACTTTCTCAAAGTGATCACAAATTCAAAATTTCAAAATAATTTATCAATACTAAAAAATTCAGGGGCAGATGTACCCAAATTAATACCATTATTTTTCTAAATGTATGTCCAGAAATCATATTTCGTTGCAAATCGTTTTCTTTATAAGCCAAAGAAAACCAATTATGACAATGTCTTATGGGATGAGACAATTGTGTAAAGAAGCAAAGTGTGCTCAACCTTGCGTTTCTCAGCCTTCTTGATCAGAGCAACTTCTTGACTGGCATTATATGTTTGGTAGCGTTCAAGTGTTTTCCCTAAACTGCAGCATGAGAGAGAATATAATTTACTCTGTAAGCATATTCAAAGTTTACAAAAAATAAATAAATAACACATATTTTCAATTGCAAGCTTTGAAAAAAACAAAAAAAAAAAACAAAAAAAAAAACAAAGAAAAAAGCTAGGCTAGTCTCTACAATACTCAATACTCAATAGAGTATAATACACAGCAGTTCAAGAGTTTAGAAATTCCTGTTCCCATCTCTGAGATAGTTTTCCATTTAATTTAATACTTCGATTAACCTGACAACGTCTATTGTTGCATCTTGACAAAATTAAGGTACATACATACATACATACATGTATATATATATATGTATGTATTTCATCCTCAAGAAGCATTCAATGCGAATTACTTGTGACGACACGAGTCAAACATGTACAACTTTGTCGCATAGTCTTCTTGCAAACAACAAAGTTACAGAAGGTCACATCAAGAAGAAAAAATTGAGGTAGTCACAAAGGAAACATGAGAGAGAGAGAGAGAGAGAGCAGACAAGTTGCCTGTAAGTAGGTTTCCTGCTTAGCTGAAACTTATAAGAAGATAGTTGAAGCTGTTTCCAAATTCAATAAATCAATTAATTAATACATGGTAGCATTAATATAGGAGAACATTTATACAGGGACTGTTTGGAACCGACTCCAGTGCGCCTCTAGAATTTTGTCATCACTTTGTTTGGTTTTCTAATACATAAAGGATTCGAACATTATATCCACTCCATCTAATTAACAACATTTTTGGTAATTAGGTAAAGGGTTGCTTTTCAAAAAAAAAAAACAGAGAGAGATTGCTGTAGAATATAATCTTTAACATAAATAGTTTTAAGAAAGATATTTGATGTTGTTAGTCATTGAACAATTATCATTCGGACAGCTAGATTCCTAAATTGTTTTTCAGACAATCTTTTTTTTTTTAATTATCAATTTTGATCTCGAGCCCTAAAATGACGATACAATTTTATAATTGAAATATAAATAATCATACAGGTACTACTTGAAACTTAAAAATTTTACCAAAATAGTCACATATGGGACAAAGTTTTCTCTTTATTATCCTTAAATTAAAACATGCTTCATCTCATAATATGACCCATTTTGTAAAATTTCAAGACATCTCCTCATGAACATGTGACTATTTCCGTTACATTTCAAAATTCTATCATCAGTTTTTAGATCAAAACAACAATAAAATAAAAAAATAAAAAAGGGAATTTCTTCCTAAACAAAGTATGACAAAGTTTAGGACCAAAATTCAATGCAAATTATACATTAACTAAAACGAACTCCAAAAAGTCGCGTTCAAAAAATCATGGCTTACGCCACTATCATCTTATTTCGAGTCAACCATCTTGAACTCTAGTGCCCCAATTTCTATTAATTAAAACGTTTTTCTTCTCTCCCTTTTTCCATAAAAACTCTGGCACACCAAGACGCTATAGCAAGTTTGCCTTGGAACACAGATTATAGACAGGTGATCATCGTAGCCTTATAACTAGTAGTGACTAGTGAGTCTTATTACCACCATTTTAAGCTGCAAAGAGAGAGAGAGAGAGAGAGAGAGAGATAAAAGATAAAGAAAAAAGAAAAAACGAAAGAAAAAAGAAAAAAAGAAAGAAAAAGAAAGTGCATATATCGCTCATACAACATGAGAAACCGATTATGTCGAAGAAAACAAATTTGTGATGATATAAATTTGCTTGGTAAAGACATATACGTACAAGCATACAGATATATATATATATATGTGTGTGTGTGTGTGTGTGTATGCGTATTTGTATATGTATATGTATATATAGATTTTCCGTACCTTCCGGAGCTGGAAAACTCGTAGAGGTTGCCGCTGCCGGAGAAGACAATGAGAGCGACTTCGACATCGCAGAGAACGGAAAGCTCAGAGGCCTTCTTCATCAGACCTTTCCTCCTCTTCGAGAACGTCACGTGGCGGCTGTTCTTGCTCTTAATTTTCTTCATCTCCACCTTCTTTCTCCCCATGGCCAAAGCCCTAACTTTCTCCGATCTACTGGCCGTACAATCAGAGAAAAATCTGATAACAAAGAAAACAAAAAAAAATCGTTTTTAGAAAGAGAAAGAGAGAAGAAAGAAGAAAAGTGTTTTTATACATATATATTACATACTTCGCAGTATTATACATTTCTCAGTCGAAAAAGACGCCATTAACGAGTTCTGAACAAGTGGAGTTGTTCATAGAAAACTCCGAATATTCATTCTCTATTTATCAGATCCCGATTATCTTCTCTCTCTATCACTCACTTTCTCTCTCTCTTCAGATTCCCTATCTAATTAATGGAAAATAAAATATCAATTTTTATTTTTGTAATTTGCCATTGGGGTAAATGATCTTTACATAAGACTTTACTTTTTGTGGCGCACTGTCGACGGCTATAGAGAGGAACTAGCTGGCGAAAGGATCATTTTAATTTAAAATTTAAATTTTATTATAATAAAAAG